CTTGGGAAAGCTGCCGATACATCGTACAATGTATTGGGCGAATGTATCTGCTTGAACACCGGTTTAAGTCAATTCCATTCCATCCTATCGTTAAAATCGGGGGATGCATCTAGTGTAAGGCGATTTCCAGCTAGATGCAACTAGTGAGAAATCACCTTGTTCTAAATGAGGAGAAACAATAGTTATCATTTTGCATCGTGAAGCTCAAGTTGTACAAAGCTGAGCCTAACAGATAGAATTGAAATTTAATTTGCTAAATTTCATCTTCTAGGCTCAAGTTTGGAAAACATCTCCTTCACAGTGAAAATTCGGGAAAACCACTTTTTCAAGCTAATTTTCAGTTTCCCACCACGAACAAAGTACTTCCCAAGTTTGAGTTTGGAACAGAATGTGTAGCAAATTTAGTTTTCTACATTTTATCTGCCCGGTTCAGCTTTGTACAACTAGATCTTCAAGATAAAAAGCACAAAACACCATTTTTTAGTCTGAAGACCAACTTTTAGAGACCCAACACCAGTAGAAAAATTTTAAGAAATTAAATGTCCAGCATTTCATGTTCCAGACTCAAGTCTAACAAATGCTTTCATCATGGTGAGAAACGCTTATTATTGTTAATTAGTTATTTTAAATTTAGTGTTATTTCTATGCATAATAACAAGAAGAGAATGAAAAATGTATATCTATTTGTGTAAGCTCACGTGGTATAATGGCGTAGATAGAAGACTACTGATTTCTAGATACAGAGTTCGAATCTCTGCACGAGCTGTGTTTCTTTCTTCCTTTTTTTCACCTCGATTTACAACTAATTATAACGCTTTTTGTATCTAGCAATTCTTTTTTTTAAACAGCTAGACGAACCGTACGCTTAATCGCTAAATGTACCTAGCTCTTATTGTTTTCTATCAACCATAATTTCTTCCTAGATGCATCGGATATTGCATCGTGTAATCGAGTAAAACCCGATGCATCTAGATAACCCGATATTTTTTACTCTTTTATCCAGATACTTTTGCTGGAGTATCGGGCGATACCTCAGCAAGTGTATCTAGATTTTTTCGCTTACGAATTCATGTCCACTGAGGCTCTGGAAAAGACGCATTCAAAATGAATTCAATTTTTTTCCAAGTTACACAGGATCATGAAAATTTTGCTTTAATGCCGAAAGTCAGAGAATTTTTCGTAGATTTAGTTATATTATTGTGGAGTTGCGATATTTTCCTTTCCACGTTTTACAGTTTATACCTGCAGGATTTTCGATTTTTTCACAATACAATCGCAGCAATATGAATATACAGCAATGATTGCCGTATATTCATATTGCTGCGATTGTATCGTTCTACGGTAGAACGAAATGAGAGAAGGGAAAAACAAATCTTAGATTTGCTTAGTCCCGTAGTTGAACCATCTTTTCTTAATCACCAATGGAGATCAAAAAGAACCTTCTTCCTCACATAATTTTTCAAATATGTGAAGAAAGCTCACCTTTGTGATAAGTGAACAGAGGGAAACTTTGCACACTTACGTAGTTGATATTGCTATATACTTGATTCAAACACGAGAAGTTCGAGGAGGAAGGACTTATGAAGAATGGAGAGGTTTATCTATTTCATAGCTTTTACCCGTGGACCTGATTACATCATGTTCTCGAAGAAAAGTCCGAGTAAAACATGATTTAGTCACATAGTTACTGGAAAATAGTAAAAATATTGTGTATTTTTCTTGAATCTTAATTGTTAGATCTAAAGTTTTTTGGCAGCGGATGTGACTTGCGTCGATATGACCTGAACATTTCGGCCGTACAAAATGTTCTTGTGCTGATGTTTTGGTGTGTAAAATATCTTTTTGCTGAAAATCAGTTGTTGAGATGATGTGAAATTGTGAAAGCGATTGAAGGGACGAAAAAAGGCTTTTCTAGTGTAATTGTGTTTTTACATATCACTACTGATTCAGTTCACCTCTGATATAAAAGTATTCACTAGCTATGTCTGCGTGTTATTTGAACGAAAACAAAATACATGTTAAATACGAAAATTTTCTATTCTGGTGTAGACTATAAAGAAGTATATACAAAAAACAGAAAAGTATCGCATAAATGGGATATTGTGTGACAAAACATGTGCGAAGAGAAAAAATATACTTTTGGTTTCAGTGAAGATACGCCTATATACGTAACAAAAATTTAAATAAGTTGAATGATAACTGAGAGTAAAGAGCAATTTGAAGTGAGAGTTTAGAGATGTGAATAAAATTCCTGTGTACTTATTTTGAGGTCAATCCCTGTGAAATGAATTGCATCATGTCCCCGAAGAGAAAGCCGGGTAAAACATGATGAAATTTATGCCCCACTGCCTCCAGAAAAAGCTCTTCGGAGAGAGAGTTTGTTCGATCCTGAAATTTGTGATTTTTCCTGTTCTTCGACACAAGCTGAAACCTCATCAGAGCTGGAAAGAGGCATACCGGTCCGGTCTGGCTGGTTGAAAAATTCTACCGGTCCGGTCTGGCTGGTTGAAAAATTCTACCGGTCCGGTCCGCCGGTAAACGTACCGGTTGAAATCATATGCCCAACCGGTGAAATTCCGGCAAAAGCCGGCGATAAACGTAGTAAGTCGAAGCGAAATAAATAGTTAAGATAAACAATACTATACAAAAATAATCAAAGAAAAGTCATTTTTAACTCCAACTTTAATAACCATATAATCAGAACTGTTCTTCCGATTGTGTTACATTAGGCCGCATCTTGTTTATGTAAGCTTCTTTGAGTACGACAAGAGCTTCCACACAGTCGGGATCAAGAGAACTTCGAAGTTCAGTAACGATTTGATCTGCAATCGATCGAAGATTTTAAATTATCAGGATCAATCATTTTCGATAGATAATGAAAAAGTGATTTGTAATAAGGCTAATCTCACTGAAAGAGAAACTACTAGGTCAAAACAGAACAAATGTGTAATGGCATGAGCAGACGGATGATCGATTGTGAATTAGACGGACGAGAGAGAAAAAAGAACAAAATAAACGAAGAATAAGACTATTGATAAGATAATAAACCATGGTCGATCAAAGCGATTTATCTTCATGCATTTGTTGATGACCCTTGATATTGAAAAAAGCTCCAACCGGTGAATTTCCGGTTTTTTTCCGGCCGGTTGGTTTTTCGAACCGGTCCGGTCCGGCCGGACCAGTACCGGTTTACCGGACCGGTTCCAGCTCTGAACCTCATACAAGAAGCAAGATTTTTTGACAGAAAATAAAACTCCTTGTCTTTCTGCAGACTAAGCATGCATCAGTTAAAAACTGGTTGAAAAAACTGGGCTTTACGAAAGCTGTTATAAGTCGTAAAAATAAAAATAGCTCCTTAAGTTTTAGCTGTTAAAGTAAAATAAAAATAGCGCTTTGACAAAAGTCTGGTAAGATGCCCAAGACGTGAAGTGCACGTATATCGTCTGCTCTACAGTTTCTTGACAAATCGGATTATAGTTCTCCCCTTTTGGTCTTTATACCTTCGAAGAACTGCAGCAATCAAATTCTTGACTTTATTGCACGATGTTTTACCCGGTTTTCCTTCAGGAACATCATGCAAAAAGGTGATGATTCGAAAGTACTGTAATCTTCACACTGAGTTTGAGGCTTATCTGTCAGTTATTGATATTTGCTCTTTTTTTCTTGTTTTTGTTTTCTTTTTTTAAAAAATTTTCTTTGCTACTTCTGGTTCTAACTCTAGTTGTCGTCTTTATTTCGTTATTTCTTTTTACTCCTTTGATATTGTTTGGCTTGAGTCATTGTTATTACAGGTCGATGACCTTATTGATGACTCTCACTTTTCGTGAATAAAACAGTCTTAGTCTTAGTCTGTTATTTACCAAGTTGGTGGCGGAACAAAACTTTTCATTTTTCAGTCATGATTTCCACTAAAATATCTTTTTCAAGACGCCTGATTACATATGTTCTGGAAGAAAAGTCCGAGTAAAACATGATGTAACAAGACTTTAAAAAACGAATTTTAAACCATTGGAAAACGCGAAAGATACGATGCGTGACTTTGTTGAAACGCACGCTTGGATTTCCTGAGATAGGCGCGTATCTCGAATTAGTCGTTCCATAAAGAAAATCAGCTAATTAGTATGATTATCTTTCATGCGAGGCGCCTTTTCTATGATCTACGCGCACTTAAGTTTAATTAGTGCAGAAAGCGACTTCTTTGATCTGTTTTGCGCTAATTCTACGCGCTGGGACATGCTGAATTTAATTCTAATATTTTCAGCTCAAGAAATAGTGGTCGGTGACTTACTGGAAGCGATCAGCTGATTTGTTATGCATCAGCTGATCGTTCTGACATGGTAATGCATTTTGACTTTTCTTGAAAATTACGGTGATCAAATCCGCGAGATTTTTATGCCAAAATATAAACCATAAGAAGAAAAGAAAAAGCCTAAAACGTTTTCTAGATTCCTACTGATTTTCTTTAATCACATCCAAATGCGTACGGTGCATAGAGGTGCATCGTACGGTGCATAGAGGTCCCCGCTATGCTTTCATTGGTCGACTACTTGTTTTCCTTTCCTGTAGTATTATACTGTAGTATTATAGAGTTAGAACATTTTTCACGGTTGGGCGCGAAGGGTAGGAGAGCCTGCGTCTAACTTATCCTCTGATTTTTGGACCTTTTCTGCATTCCACGTTATTTTATGCTGCTTTTCTCTACTAACAAGTATAGAATGAAAGAAAAACATGACAGACAGAATTTTATGTTTTTTTTGATTTTATCATTTAGTAATTATTTATTTTTAATTTATTTTTATTATTTATTTTAATTTATTTATTTTTTATATTTGCGCCCAGCAATAGCGTATCTTTTTTCACTGATTTACGGATGTGAAGCTGATTGGTAAATCACAAAATGCTTCATAAAAAGAAAAAAAACGCCGTAGTTTTCTTTCTTTCTAGATTGTGATTTTCTTCAAAATTTGTTTTCTCGGTACAAACTTCGAATATCGATAATCATGTTACAAGCTGTTTACAGTCAAACTGTCAAAAATTTCGGTAAGCTTAGTTTTCTTCTCGTTGACAGTAAACATTAAGTGATCTTTCTTTTATTTTTTTAGATGGTGTCGTTCATTTTGTTGAAAGACAGGCAATAAACGAAAAAAATTGGTTGTATTATATCCCTGTAGCTGAAAATTTTCAAGAAAAATTGAAAAAATTTGTTGATGAGGGTAAGTTAAACTATTTAAAAGTCAAAATAGTCTATAACCTACATGTCTGTTTTTTTTCAGGGCTCGATTCAAATGGACCGTCTTCGAAGCCATATCGTGAAATATCAAATTCAACTCGTGAACTTAGATTAGAACAGGATGCAACTGGTAATGTTATTGTACGTGTTGTTATTCAGCCGCCAAAACCAAGAGCAGGTCAGAAGTCGGCAGTACAACTACCACGTAAGCTACTGCAAAATATCCCCCTTATTTTAACTCTCAATGTATTTCTAGTCGTTGTAGGTGATCGTCTGCTTCTGAATCGTCATCAGACAATTCATTTAATTATTAAAAAAGCAATTCAATATCGTATTGACCATAATGGCTCATCAGTGTCTATCAATCAAATGCAAAAAGAGCTGAAACGAACTTATTTTATTAGCACTGAAACAATTGCATATGTATTATCTCAGATGTAAGTAGAAAAAAAGAGCTTTTTGTTTTTTTATACAAGTGCTTTCTCTTTTTAGAAACTCACCAGAACAAGATTTATTTACAATTGAAGCTAATCCTCCTCTTCTATCAACACAACAACAACAAACAGACATAAATAAAAAAAATAATAAAAACGATGATTCAGGTAAGAAGCTTATGAAACAGCTGATCATGATAATGGTCTTTAGCAATTGTCTATTAATTTTAGGAGATAAGAATGGTGGTAAATCGTTAAATTTGAAATAGAAAACTGGAAAGATAAAAACAACGACAGCAACCGATGAACAAATAAAACAAAAAGCTACAACAGTAAGTTAGCCTCTTGCTTTTAAGCCTTTCGTTCACTTAAGTTGCTGCGTTTTTTTCCACAGTATTTATCACAAGCAATTAAAAAAGAAAATAATCCTTAAGGTCGTGAGACCAAAAAAAAGAGGTGAGGAGCAAAGGAAGATCTTTCCTCTTAACTTCATGTATTTATTCTTCTATGTTTTAGAAATGCAAATGAATTACAAGATTTATTATCAAAGAATTACATGGTGGTGGGAAAGAGAAGAAAAGATTGACTGTTATTTGAACAGAAGTGAGATGATACTATTTTTTTTTGTAGTCGTTTGTTCAATGTACCCCAATGTTGTTTTTCAAAAAAAAAAACACTGGTCGAAAGTTAAAAGACATCCTTGATCTTTCAAAAACATCACGATTGGTAAAAGTGCTATAGCTCCATGAACAAAGCTCGCTGCGATAGCCCACTTGCAGAAAAACATCCTAGAATTCTGCGCTACAAATCCTGACATTTAAAAGAAAAAAATAAATGGTCCTCTGAGAACTACAATTTTTTTAATATAAAAATTAGGTACACTTTTGACACAGCAATTTTGATATTGTGTGAGTAAAACCGTTCTATGCAAGAAATGATCAAAGACATAAAGTTTATTTTAGTCTCATTTTGTGCAGAATTCAATTCTCTATCTTGTACGGTAACTGAGGTAGATTGCGAGTGCGGGAACGTAAATACTGAGAAAAAATGAGTTTTCAGCAGAGAGGTAGTCCGCTTATTTGTATTTTTCTCACTTTCTATACCTCTTCAATGGAAATGAAGGCATATTTGGAATCAGTAGACAAAACCGAATCGAATCATGTGTCACTCAAAGATTTTTAAGAACAAATACTTTTCGATGAATTTTTGGCTGAAGTTCTTTAAAAGCAAAAATTTATCGAAAAATAATTGTTCTTAAAAACCTTTGAGTGACACATGATTCGATTCGGTTTTGTCTGCTGATTCCAATATCAGGAAACAAAAACACAACCTATTATCTTATATATTTTTCATCATTAGATTAACACGAATGATAACTTATCCAAATTCTGAATTAGAAACATTTTCGGCTAAATTATTATTTGTTTTGTGTAAAGAAAATGGTATATACATAGAGTAGTAAGACGACCCTATTATTGATCTATCATAACTTTTTTTTTTCTTTTTTACAGTCGATCGTTTAATCAAGTATACTGGTTACGGGAATGCAGCTGGTTGGCTGTATGATTTTGGTTGAGTAGGACCTTCGCATAATACAAATAAAGATACATATTCAAGTGAATTAGCAGATTCAGGTACTAAGATTAATAAACGAGCCAGAGATCAGTAAGTATTTTACTGTTCTACTCACTTCATCCAACTAGAAAGTGAATCTTAATGTTAAAACTCCTTTCAAAATATTTTTTGTTTTTTAGTTTAGGCGTAATACAACCAGCAACAATTTGTCCGGCTGGTAAGCCAGTGGCTATTGATAATGTCGTACAATTTCGTAAACTAGTTGAATCAAACAAAAAGAC